GGGGGCCGTCCTGGAGCCACCCGCTCCGCTCAACGCGGCGCTGCTGCGTCGAACGCCCGTCGACCCGAGTCGAACTCGAGCCGAACCCAAGCGGAGCTTGGGTTGAACGGAAGTCGAGCTGGAGTCGTTGGAGTCCCGAAACGGTGCGGTGACAGACCGTGCGGTGGCCTCGAAATCCCCCAAGACCTCACCGCACGGTCCGTCACCGCACGGTCTTGGGACCCCGGAGGCCCCTGTCACCCGAGTCACCCTCGGAGAACGACCCGAGTCCCAAAACCGTGTGGTGACCCCGAATCCCCACCGACTCATCGCACGGTGTGGTCACCACCCCGCTTGGGGACCCCCGAGAGTCGAGCAGATCCGCTGGATGGGCCCCGCCAGAAGGCCCCCGAAGGGAACAGCAACAAACACCCGTCCTCGGCAGCGGCGGCGGCTGGTGGATGAACTGCGGCTCGGCCTCCGCCGCCGCCCTCCGCGCCGGTGGCGGTGGCCTCGGCTCCGCTCGAGCTGCCAAGGGCGAGGACGACGACGACAGCCACGGGCAGCGGGCAGCGGAGAGCTTTGCGAGCCCGCCGCCGCTGCCCTCGCCGCCATCATCGCCGCCCTCGCCGCCGCCCGCGCCGCCCTCCCCGCCCGCCGCCGCCGCCGCACGTGGCCCTCGCCACCGTGTGAACCGATCTCCCAAGGCATCGGGAGGCAGGCAGTGGGCATGGCTGTTTTCGGGCCCCAGGAGGCCCAGAGATGTCCACAGTCCACCGCCGCGTCGTCGCTCGGGGCCCCAGGAGATCGCCTCCCACCGCGGTGGAAATGGACATAGACCCCGCCCAGCCTCGCCAGTGATGACGACGAGGAGGAGAACGAGGAGGAGGCGGAAGAGGAGGAGGGAGAGGAGGAGGAGGAGGATGAGGATGAGGATAAGGATGAGGATGAGGAGGAGGAGGAGGAGGAGGAGGAGGAGGAAGAGGAGGAGGCGCAGCCCCCTCCTCCTCCTCCTCCTCCTCCTCCTCCTCCTCCTCCTCCTCCTCCTCCTCCTATCCTCTTCCTCCTCCTCCCCCCTCTCCTCCTCCTCCTCCCTTCCTCTCCTCCGCCTCCTCCTCCTCCTCCTCCTCCTCCTCCTCCTCCTCCTCCTCCTCCTCCTCCTCCTTCCTCCTCCTCCTCCTCCTCCTCTCCTCCTCCTCTCCTCCTCCTCCTCCTCCTCCTCCTCCTCCTCCCTCCTCCTCCTCCCTCCTCCTCCTCCTCCTCCTCCTCCTCCTCCTCCTCCTACCTCCTACCTCCTCCTCCTCCTCCTCCTCCTCCTCCTCCTCCTCCTCCTCCTCCTCCTCCTCCTCCTCCTCCTCCTCATCCCTTCCTCCTCCTCCTCCTCCTCCTCCTCCTCCTCCGCCTCCTCCTCCTCCTCCTCCCCCCCTCGATCCTCGGCCCTACCTCCTCCTCCTCCTCCTCCTCCTCCTCCCTCCTCCTCCGCGTCCGCGCGCTGAGGCGGCGGCTTCGGGCCGAAGGTCGCTGCAGCCGGCGGCGCCGCCGCCGGCGCGGTGGTCGTCGCCGGCGGGATGGCGGGCGCGGCCTTGGCCTTGGCTTTCGCGGCCTCCAGCGCGGCGGCCTTCGGCGGCAAACATCGACGCTGACGACGACGACGACGACGATGACAACGACGACGATGCTGCCGACGACGACGACAGCGCTGCCGACGACGACGACGACGACGACGCTGACGCGTCGATGCTGCCGGCGTTGTCATCAACGCCGCCGTCCCCGGCGGCGCCACAACCGTCGTCGCTGACGTTGGCGGCGACGACGGCCGTCAGTCAGCATCGGATCGAGAACCCACACATCCGAATCTGTTTTTTTTGTGCCCAATGCGCTACCCCAAAAATCCAGAATTATTCCCCAAGGGTGCGTTTTTTGCCCCAGATCCGCGTCTGGTGGCCCAGGGGCCCATCAATAGCGGGCCCACCGGCTAACAGTTAGAAAAAGCGCTGGGATTGAATCGTCACACCGTCGGATATCTGGAAATCAGGTAGGATTGGAATTCGCGTCGAATCAATCCGCATATCGGCACGGGGTCGAGATCGGATCCGGCTGGCCGCGCCTAGATGCACAGCGGCCCCATGCGAACATCGGGCCCGCGAGGGATCGTCTGGACACTGGTGGGCGCGACCCACCGTCGCTGGCATGAAGCTTTCGAATATAAGGGGGATCGCCCCCCCCCAAAAAAAAGTACGCCACCGAGGAACCCCACATACTTATATCACGGCTTGAGTGATGATAACTCAAGTGAAGCATGTGAAAATGATGTTGGTGGCCGTTCCCTGCGCACCCCCTACGGTGTCGAGAAAATGCCATGCCTGCTACGCCCTGGACGACCGGCTCGGATAGAGGCCGAACTCAGACTCAACCACCTGCGGGCCCCCTCAAGCTACGAGAAGATGCCACGCCTGCTACGCCCTGGACGACCGCCTCGGATAGCGGCCGCGCTCAGAAACCGCGACCTGCACCCCCCCCACGGCGTCGAGAAAATGCCACGCCTGCTATGCCCTGGACGACCGGAGCCGCTGGGGACCGCTGAGGCGTGAAGGCCTGCACGGGCGTGGATTTGATTGGCGTGTCCTGCGCGGGCGTGGCAACGCCTCCGTTGCCAGCGTCGCCGACGCGCCGAACTTTCGCCAACGGCGAACCATCGCCATCCTCCGCCCACCCCGCGGGCTGATCAGCTGGGAACCCGCTGGACGAAGGGTTCAGCAAGTACCTAGCCAAGCACTGCCTCCTGGCATCGTCGGCACCTCGTTGACGCGGCAACTCGTTGTCCCTGGTGACGAGCGTCTCGGGCCACCAGATTAGAAGCTGTCGCTGGTAAGCATGAAATGCGCTGCGTACCAAGCCGCTTCCATGCCTGTCAACATGTTCGCGCAAACCATCTAAACTCACTTCGGCGCCCAGCTCTAGCATTGACTTCTTGAGCTGCTCGCGCGGAGGCGGCAGCGCCGACATGGCACATTTGGGCGCCATGACCAGAGCCGCACACACAAATATTGTAGATAATTGAGTGTGGCAAGAATCCAAAATGACAACTGGTCGAGGATAAACAAAAACAATGAAATAAACGAAAATATCGCAACCTGTTGGGAATAAACATCTGAACGAAACACAAGCGAACATAGACATGGTTCTCACATGTGTATGGCGGCAAAAGGGGGCCCACATCTTGCGAATGGAATTGAGGAGCGACTCCAAAACCTGTTTGCACGGTCTCAAACGAAAGTCGTGCTCCCAAAGAAAAGTTAAACAAACGTCTTTTGATCAAAGAAAAACGATTTCCCGAGAAAGAATCTCTTGACGGACAATCACCAGCGCGAGCACGCCGAATTGCAAACCCGAACGGTCTGAGCCGGCATGAGCCAAGATGGCTACAAATTCTTGATGATGGTTGCAATCACCTTGCTTGCGTTCCCCTGTGCCCTGAACACGACCGGTCCGGATAGAAAACTTGCGCACCGATGTGCCATGAGCACCGCCGTCACGGATAGAGGCCGCGCTGACAGACCACCCCCTGCGCACCCCCATGGTGTCGAGAATGTGCCGTGGCTGCTATGCCCTGGACGACCGTCACGGATAGCGGTCGCACTCGGACACCACCCCCTGTGTACCCCTCATGGTGTCGAGAATATGCCATGCCTGCTGTGCCCTGGACGACCGTTACGGATAGAGGCCGCGGTGAGAGACCACCCCCTGCGCACCCCTATGATGTCGAGAATGTGCCATGCCTGCTATGCCTTGGACGACCGTCGCGGATAGCGGCCGCACTCGGACACCACCACCTGCGCACCGTCTACGGTGTCGAGAATATGCCATGCCTGCTGTGCCCTGGACGACCGTCACGGATAGCGGCCGCGGTGAGAGACCACCCCGTGCGCACCCCCTATGGTGTCGAGAATATGCCATGCCTGCTGTGCTCTGGACGACCGTCACGGATAGCGGTCGCCCTCAAAGACCACCCCTTGCGCACACCCTGTGCTGTGGTGTCGAGAAAATGCCATGGCCGCTGTGCCCTGGACGACCGTCACGGATAGCGGTCGCCCTCAGAGACCCCCCCTGCGCACCCTCTCTGGTGTCGAGAAAGCCCCACGCCTGCCGTGCCCTGCGCCATGGCCCGCATAGAGCCTCCTGCCATGCAATGCGAATCCTACACTCACGTCTTGTATATGGCATGTCATGTGTATGTGTATGATTCGTGTGCGGCTGTATCGATACGTGTGCCTCATGTGGGTGCCCAGTATGTTGTGCATGCGTCTTGGGTGTATGATGCAGTGAACACGTCAGGCGTGCACTAGCGTTGTATGGTGTGTTTGCGAGAGTGTTGTATGGTGTGCGTCTGCTGGCGAGTGTCATGTGGTCATGCCTGCACCTCCTCCTCCGCTCCGTGTGCGGCTGTATGTGAGCGTGTGTCTCATGTGCGTGTGGGCATGTGGGCGCGAGACGCAGAGGGAGGAGGAGGAGAAGGAACGCGTGCGAGACGCGGAAGAGAAGAAAACCAACACCCCACGAAACGTGTGGGGAAAACATGTCCTAAAGGGGGGTCAGAAACCAAGGGCTCCAATCCGGGGTCCCAACACCGTGTGGTGACGGACCGCATACCTCGGAATCCCCAACGACCTCACCACGCGGTCCGTCACCGCACCGTTTTGGGACCCTGGAGGCTCCGGTCGCCCGAGACTTCCGCAGAGAGCGACCCGAGTCCCAGAACCGCGCGGTGACCCCGAATCCCCACCGACTCGCCACACGGTGTGGTCACCATGCCGTCTTGAGGCCCCCCGATCCCAGGCGCCGCCCCCCCCCGTTCCCTGGAGCGCCTTCCCTGCTGCAAAGGTCCTCGAGCGATGAAGCTGCTTCCGGGCCGCCTTGGACCCCACCCTGAACGGCAGAAACGCCACCTCACACTGACTACCTACCGGACCGCCCCAACCCAACCCGAAGACCCGAATTTGACCCGACTTTCGGGTTGGGGGGGGTACGGATTCCATGTGTTTTTTCAGTGTTCCCCGACCCCCCCACCACTGGAAATCGAGGATAAATTTGGGCCTTCGGGTTGGGTTGGGGTGGTTTGGTGGGTGGTGACACACGGACAGAAACCTGTGGATAGCGCGTCACGGCGGCGGCCTCGGCGGCACGCTGTGCCCTGCGAGCGGACAGCGTGTCGCTCCGCTCTGCGGGGCAGGAGGCTCGGAAAGGCTCGCGACGTTGACGCCTCGGGACATGGATGTGCATTGAATAGCGTGTCGCACAGGGGCGCGGTGGGCCAGATCCGGCCGGAAGAGCGACACGCGATCCAAAAGTTCCAGTCCGCAGCGAGCACCCCAACGAGAGAAGCCCGTCATCAAGCGCACCGCAAGAAACAATCGAGCGGCGTAGGGCTGTTCCGTGAACGCCCAAAACTGGTTAGCAAACGCCAGTTATGGGGGTCACGGTGTTTATAGTCGGCCCGTATCATAAGGATGCGCGATAAGGATGCAAGGGCCTTAGACGGCCATTTCCAAGCTTTTCGAACGGAGCGCGGCCAACGAAAGTGGCCAAGGATGGACCGAGGAGGCAAGGATGTAAGGGTACCCTTGAGAAAGATGCCCAACCTTATCATGCGGGTTGACTCTATCTCCCTTGACACCCCGAGGCCAAGGGGTCAAGGACGGCCATCGTGAGCGCCATCCTGACCAGCGTCCCTACAGCCAGGCTTAGCCGCGGTGCCGAAGCGAGCACTCGGACCACCAAGCAACCTCGGACGGCGGCGAGCGCGAGAGCAACTCTCCCGGGGTGCGTTCTCAACAGAATGTCGAGGCGAATCCAGCGGTGGCGACGAGGGCCTCCCATAGGAGGCCCCAAACAGACGAAAACGAGGCAAGGGTAGCGGCATGGGTAGTTACCCTTTCCTCCTCTCCAACAGGCGAGCGAGACGACGACCCGCAGGCACGCGGAAACCTTGCGCTGCTCTGCAGAAGCCGCCGGAGTCTGCCCTGGATTTCACAACAAAAAGGAGGTGGTATGATTCGTCGTGTGGTCTGATTTGAGCTGTCTTGGAGGGTTCCAGTGGGGTCTGGGCAAGAGGCCCCCCCTTCGCGGCTGGTCTGGGGGCGGCCTGAAGCTGCTCGTCTGGGAGGGTTGTGACCCACTCCCTGTTATTACAAAATTTGGGGTACAAGCCAGAAGAACAACCCTCAAGAATAACACGGAACACGAGACCCTCCGCCTGCCAAGACAGACAGAACGTCCAAGGGTACCCTCCCCAGAATACACGAGCATTCCCAATAAGCACGAAGAACATTAGGGTACCCTCCCAGGACCGACCCCGATCTTGTTCCTCGGTCCGACCGTACGTCTAGCCCAGACTCCTGACGTCATGAGCTTTTCCTGACGTCGACCCCAAAGGGTTTCGACCCATTCCCCAGGACGGGTTTTCATCCTGAATCGTTGTTTGACGGTCCCACGGCCAAATGAGGGCCCCCCAAAGCAGTACATAACGAAAAACCCCGCGCCGTGTTTTTTTCGTGATTCCAGGGGGTCTGGGAAGGTCACTCCGACCAAACGTCACTCTTGCGGCTATAGTTAGGTCGG